TAAAAACATGATAAAACTCGAAAAAAAATATTTAAAATATTATTTAGGAGATATAAATTTGATAAAATTCGAAAATAATATTTAGGAGATAAAAATCTGCTAAAAGTTGAAAATTATATTTAAAATTATAGTTAGGACTTAGGAGATATAAATTTGATAAAATTAAAAAAATATTATTTATAATAATATTTAGGAGATAAAAATTTGATAAAAATAAAAAATAATATTTAGGAGACAAAAATCTGATAAAAATAAAAAATAATATTTAAAATAATATTTAGGGGATACAAATATGATAAAATTCAAAAATAATATTTAAAATAATATTAAGGAGATAAAAATTTGATAAAAATAGAAAAAAAATTACAAATATGACATTAGGGTTTCTTAGGGTTGCCCTAGCGTTTCTTTCTTTTATATATAAGATTATTATTATTATTATTATTATTATTATTATTATTATTATTATTATTATTATTATTATTATTATTATGGACCTATTTTTATTATACGAAAATTCTAAAAATTTCAGGAAATTTGTTTATATTTCATCATTTTTGGAGGTATACAAAATTTCTAAGTATAATAAATTTATATCATATAATATTATATATATATATATATATATATATACCATGTCGTGGATCCGAATTAGGCCCATTACAGTTCATGGGTTGCTAGTTTATGGTCCAAACCTGATTCAATTGATGGGCGGGTCAACTCAGTCCAATTGAAATTTTTGAATATAAGCACATGACCCATGTAGTTTGAACTTTTTGCACGTAACTCCCTTATACTTTTAATACAAACACATAACCCCATGCTATTTCAATTGATAAATAATCATACTCATTAGGAAGATGAAACAAGTACAGATTTGTTATGTGCTTATATTAAAATACAAGAAACTTATATACTATATTGAAAGTATAAGAAAGTTATGTGCATCAAATTTAAACCAGAGGGAGTTAAGTGATATTTACCAAAATTAAATGACTGACATAATCAATTAGATGAGAAGGTGCCTTATACTCTAGTCCCAAGTTTGGCTTAGAATCAAAGCAAACTTTTGTTTGTATGCCTAATTATAGTATTCATCATCACCACTACAATCAAAATTACATAAATTGTAATTAAGTTTTCATCTACTTATTTTTTTTTTAAATAATTACTACTTTGCCAAAGGTGAGTATTGGCACTCGTATAATTGTTCGTGATGCAAATAAGGTTTTGTAGATGATGTACCCGGTGAAGTACATCGAATGATCATGCACCATTGATTTACATATAATAACACACAACTATGTATATGTGTGTTTAGTGGATAGTTCTGAGTATAAATTTATGATGCAAAATCACCCGATATTTTTCATCAGGTGTAGCATCTAATATTCCTGCAAGTAATTATCCATACGTCTTGTTTTCTGTAATTCAATTTATGGGCTGATTTTTTGTAAGGGTAAATTACAACCACCCTCTAAGGTATGATCAAATTTCGAAGAAAAAAAAAACTGTATGTTTGGGTAATTACAACTATCTCCCTCAACTATAAATCTTCTTACACGTCCACCATTGCAGTGTCAAATTTAGTGGAATCTTCTAGATTATGTTGAATATTCTCAATTTTGTACCCATTCGAGCTCCACGTTTTAAAGCAAGATGATCATAAGATGTTTTTTTTAGCTTGTATATATCAGATTGTCTTGCATCAGAAACTGCATTTTTGCAGAAAACGAGTACAAACTAGAGAACATTCCACATAATCTAGAAGATTACATTGAATTTGACACCACAAGGGTGGACGTTTAAAAAAATTCATAGTTGATGAAAGAGTTGTAATTATCCAAACATAAAGGGTTTCTTTTTTGTAATTAGTAAAATTGGTTTGTTAATTTGAATATTATTAAGCAATAAAATATTATATTTTTAAAACATAATAATCATAAATAAAAACATTAATGATTGCCGAAAAGATCCTTTAACAACACTAGAAAGGAAAAGTTGCGGCCCCCAATTTAGTTTTCATACTGTAGGCAGTAATGCTGGTAACTTCTGTCAGAAAACATTTACAAAGCTGCGGCGAAGCTTCTCTCTCCTTCCTCGCAAATTCAGCAGCGTCGCGTCCCAATTTTCCGGCGAGATCTCCGATCGGGTAATTTCGTGTACCGAGCTGTGTTTGTTTTCTCTTGATTTGTTTTACGCCTATTGTTTTTTTGGAAGTCCTGTTGATGTTTTAGGTTTCGCCATTTCTAGGGTTTGCTTGAAATTTTTGGGTTTATTTATAGTTAATCTGATTGTTTATAATTATAATATAATTAGAAGTGAATGTGGACTGGTGGGCTAGCTAAATTTGTGTGTACCTACTGCAAATTTTGATTGTGATATATCATATATAATTGTTGAATGAAGGTGTTTTTTATTGTCATCTGCACCATTTTGTATGGAATCTTTTTTTTTTTTTTCTTTCGTGATTCATCGAATAGTGATTCGTCGTATGTTTAGTGCCAAAACTTTGTAAACGGGAGGGAAGTTTTTGCGGGTGAGATATGTTATGATGTACTGATTGTTGTTTTGTGTATCTCAAATCTTTGTTTGTCTCACCCGTTTATATCAGTTAAATTTATCTTCTAGTCGTTCTGTTGATTGCTTTGAATTGGTTGTCGGATTAGTGAATTTTTTTCATAAAAGGTTAAAAGATGAGTTTGTTTCCCGCGGCACTTAAAATATACGATTTATTGCTCCGATTCAATATTTAAGCTACATTTGTTAGCTGACGAGAGATTGAGGTTAATTTTTTTTATTACGAAGCGAATCAAGGAATAAAGTTACCTTTTACGAACGTTGAGAAGGTAATTCATACCCATTAAGGAAAGATCAAAAATCCTTCACCTTCGCCTTTCCCTCCGTTTCCTTCTCTTGATGCAAAACGTACCTGTATATTTAGTTAACGTTGGACTAGCCATGTTGTTGCATTGTATTTTTTGTCGTTGCAAGATTACGTTCCCTTTTTTCTCTCACTAGAGGAACAATCCGTTTTTGTTACGTCACAATTCTAACATTTCTGCAAAATTTATTGTTTCCTCATAGTGGCAGCCCAAGTCTCTCATTGAGTTGAGCAAGATTAAGTGTAAGTTGTTTCGATTTCATTGATTACGAAAACGATAGCTGAATCAGCATGTGCTTATTAGGTTTTATGCATAGGAGGCAAGTTATTTAATACAGATCTTACCATCTATTATCCACTCAACTTATACGTACGTGTCAGTAAATCCTGTAAATGGTCACGTAAAGTTAAAATAAGCAGTTCAAAGAAGCAATTAAATAATCGTCAAATGTTTTTATCCAATAGAATTCTATTTGTGCACAATAATTTAAGGTTATTACGGATGCCACAAAAGTAAAAAAATATAAATGTAGAAGTTCTTAACTGTAAATGGTAATAAAAGCCACGAAAAATTTGTTACTCAATATATGTGTGTGTGTCTAATATATACAGGCGTATCAAGGATCTTTTGTTGGTTTGTTTTAATGCATGTATAATCTTATGTGTGACATTTCAGTTTCTTGTTTCAGAAACTTGTAATCCTAACTGTTCATAAATTTTTGGGTTCCGATTGAAGTCCAGTTTTTGTCTTATATAGCTGTTAATACTTGGTTAGCACTTCGATCCAGAGTTGCAGCAGGACAGGGTTTAATGTTTCTTCATCGTGTAATAACATTGCCAAGAAGCCATATGTTTATGTACTTATAATATCTATCTAATATCATGCAAAACATTCTTTTGCATGCAGTTACCGCTTCGACTTGGTGAATATTCTTCCTGGTAAAAGTAGATATGCAAAATAGTGGTGCCAAAGATACCCTACTTCGTGAAAGCAGCAACCAAAAGGTTCACCCCCAGCCAATGGAGGAGGCCGCAAATCAAAATCCCGAAGCCATGGAAGCCCTAGTTTCTAGAATATTCACAAACATCTCTTCCCTCAAATCTGCCTACATTCAACTCCAAGCAGCCCACACTCCTTATGACCCCGATAAAATTCAAGCCGCGGATAAACTTGTAATTTCGGAGCTAAAGAATTTATCCGAACTGAAGCATTTCTACAGAGAGAACAACCCTAAACCTGTTTGTGTCTCTCCACAAGATTCTCGATTGGCTGCAGAGATTCAAGAGCAGCAGAGCTTGTTGAAAACTTACGAGGTGATGGTGAAAAAATTCCAATCCGAAATTCATAATAAAGATTCGGAAATTCTTCAATTGGAGCAGCAAATCCAAGAGGCGAATCAGAAGCGGGTGAAACTCGAGAAGAATCTGAAGCTAAGGGGCTTATCTGCAAAAGAGTCGGAAGGTGTAAACGGGGTTTTCTCGTCGTTGGATTTATCTCCCGATCTTTTTAAGTCGGCTGTAGAAGCTGCCTCGAGGGCTATTCATGATTTTTCGAAGCCGTTAATCAACATGATGAAAGCTGCTGGATGGGATCTCGATGCAGCAGCAAACTCAATCGAGCCAAACGTTAATTACGCAAAGAGGGCCCACAAGAAATACGCGTTCGAATCTCACATTTGCCAGAGAATGTTCGTCGGATTTCAAGACGAAAACTTCTCCATGAAAAAGCCGGAGAAAAATCCGATCGAAACTAAAGAAAGTTTTTTTCAGCAGTATCTCGCCTTGAGGGAAATGGACCCGCTAGATGCTGTGGGCCAGGATCCAGATTCCACGTTTGGAATATTCTGCCAGAGTAAATATCTCGAGGTTCTTCATCAGAAAATGGAAGCTTCGTTTTTCGGAAATTTGGATCAACGGAATTATATAATGGGAGGTGGGCATCCGAGGACTGCTTTCTACCAGGCTTTTCTGAAACTGGCAAAGTCGATTTGGCTTCTGCACAGGCTGGCGCATTCTTTTGAACCTTCGGTTAAGATTTTTCAGGCGAAAAGGGATAGTGAGTTTTCGGAGGTTTATATGGAAAGTGTTGTGAAGAATTTTATTTTAGAAGATGGCGACGAAAAGCCGAAAGTCGGTTTGATGGTTATGCCTGGATTTTGGATTGGTGGTAGTGTTATCCAATCGCAAGTCTATCTTACTGGGGTTAAGGTAGCAGAATAATCTTTCGATTTTTCGATTTCTTTTGGCTGTTTTTTTTTTTTTTTTTTTTGGGATTTTGTATGTAACTGTGTGTATCATCAGATCATGGTTATTATCTTAATATGTAATTTTATGATGTGTTATGTATGTACTATTCTTTAATATAGTGATCATGGTTATTATCTTAATATGTAATTTTATGATGTGTTATGTATGTACTATTCTTTAATATAGTTATTACATTCAAAAGTATATTTGGTTTTGTACTTTTGTTACAAGTATATTTCATGTTATTGCTCTACCTAAAGGCCATCTTTTTTAAGTCTAGCTTCTAGTTTATTTTGATACTGAATTACAATAGCTTATAATTTAATTAATTAATTAAATATTTATTATTATTATTTTTTGGTGTAAATGGTTGAGTGTGCATGTTCTGATATTTAATTAGAATATCACATTCAAAGCTATCTAATCACGTTGACTAATAGCGTTATGCATGGACCATGAAATCTGCCATATTCATTATTTTATAGGGTAAATTACAACCACCCCTGGGGTATGGTCAATTACGAAAAAACCCTTCTTGTTTGGATAATTACATCTACCCCCTCAACTATGATATTTTCTTACATCTCCACCCTTATTGTGTCAAATTCAACATAATCATCTAGATTTCGTGGAATGTGCTCTAGTTTGTACTCATTTTGTATAAAAATACAATTTCTGATGCATCAAAATCTGATATATACAAGCCAAAAAACACATATTGTGATCATCTTGCTTTAAAATGTGGAGTTCGAATGGGATAAAACGGGTAGAAAAGTGATAATATTACATATAATCTAGAAAATTCCACTAAATTTTATAGTTGAGGGGTGGTTGTAATTACCCAAACAGAAGGGGGGTTTTTGTAATTTGACCATACCTCAGGTGGTTGGTTGTAATTTACCCTATTTTATATCACAAGAAATATAAAAAAAATTGGTCGGTTTAAGAATATAAAAAAATATAAAAAATTACACTCTTGATTTCAAATATTCAATTATTATTAATTTATTTTTATTACTAGTACTAGTACTATTATCACAGTTGTAAATAATAAATATACTATGGTGATTATTTGTTGACTAAGTCAGGTTGAAAAGATTAGACATTTTCGAGAAAATAATTCGATTAATGGCTGTAATAGTACTTTAGAAAAGCAAGAAGCTAAAGAACCGTTGACCAATCAATTCTTGAATAAATAAAATAAATTAAACTAATTGTATATTAGTTAGTAGTAATGATATATGATTAAATATCAAATCTTGAATGAATAAAATAAATTAAACTAAGGGCGAATGGGAAAAATGCACATCACATGAGACTTAAATGCATTTTGGTCCAAAAAAAAAACACTCACTCAATTAAACACATCCCCATATCTTTAGTCTAAAATACCCTCCATAATATAATTCTTATCAATTTTATCCATTATGCTCTAACTTCCTTAATATTACACATTAACCCCGGATTTAAACAAATATATCACATTAACCCCCAATTTTTTTCTTTTTTCAGAAAATAATTTTTTTTCTGAATTTTTTTTTCCAGCCAAATTCCGGCGTTGACTTTTTTTTTTTTTTTTGAACTTTTTTTTCCATGAAATTTTTTTCCGGCAGGTCAACCACCGTTGACCGCCGGTCTCCGACGTTGACTTTTTTTTTTTTTTTCTAAGAAAAAAATATTTTAATTAATATTACTGTCTTGACTACTAAATTACTGTCTCAAACAGTAATATTACTGTTTGGGACAGTAATATTATGAATATTATTTTCCCGAACAGTAATATTATTAATATTATTGTCTAAGACAGTTAAATTACTGTTGGACACAGTAATTTAGCAGCCAAGTCAATAATATTAATTAAAATAGTTTTTTTTAAGAATTTTTTTTTTTTGTAAAAAAAAAAAGTCAATTAACAGTTAAATTAATGTCTCCGACAGTTAAATAACTGCTGGAGACAGTAATTTAGCAACGAATACAGTAATATTAATTAAAAATATTTTTTTAAGAATAAAAAAGTCAATAATCAGTTAAATTACTGTCTCCGACAGTTAACCAATTGTTGGAGACAGTAATTTAGCAACGAATACATTAATATTAATTAAAATATTAAAAAAAAAGTCAATTAACAGTTAAATTACTGTCTCCGATACTTAAATAACTGCTGGAGACAGTAATTTATCAGCAAAGACAGTAATATTAATTAAAATATTTTTGAAGAAAAAAAGTCAATTAACAGTTAAATAAATTACTGTCTCCGATAGTTAAATAACTGACGGAGACAGTAATTTAGCAGCTAAGACAGTAATATTAAAATATTTTTTTTAAGAAAAAACAAAATTATATAAAAAAAAAAAAAAAATCAACGCCGGAGACCCGACGGTCAACGGCGGGGACCGGCGGTCTCCGGTGGTGGCGGGTCAAAATTGAGGTCAAAATTGAAATTAGGGTTAAAATTGGTTAATTGATGAAATTTGGCTAAATTAGGATGTAAATCATGAAATTGGAGTTGAATTGAGTTTCAATGAATTGAGGGTAATTTTGGTATATATAAAAGGATTTTCCTTATTTGCAAATAAGTTTGAATGAGTTGAATTTATTTGAAAGATAAAAATATTGGATGTCCCTCTTTAAGTGCCCTTGTCATGAAACTTTTTGTGATTAACCCTTAAACTAACTGTATATTAGTTAGTAGTAATGATATATGATAAATGTAGATGCTTTGATTGTTTTGGTTGGTTTAGTACTTAATTGAAGGAACACTAAAGTAAGTCTGTATATAGATTTCTGGTGGCAGAGTTAGTATAGGGCCAGAGGGGGCCATAGCCTCCTCCCCAATAATTCTTGAATCCTTATTTTTATGTAAAAAAATAATAAAATTCATATATAATTAGTATTATGGTCCCGAACTTAAAATTATGGCCGACTAGTGTAGATATATTTTTTATATTTCTCTTATTACAACTTTCAAATAATTGCAAATCAACCCTTATAGGTAAAACTTATGATAATCAAATCAAATTTATATATGCTATTTAAAGCAACTCCATGTTGGTATAGTTAATTGGGGGGTATTTGTCAAACACCCCTCCTTGAAATTTGACTTCTTGATAAATCCAATTTTTTTAATTGATATTTGTTATAAATCCAATTGGCTCAAATATCCAAAATACCCCTATTTAATATTACATAAAATTTCCATATAATTTATTTTAAAAAATCCATTATTTTTTGGTAGATATGCAAATCCCCCTATTTTCTCCCCACCATCCCCTACTATCTCCTATCACGCCTCTTTCTCCTTCAATTAGTTAATTAATTAATTGGGTTTTTTTATTTATTTATGTTTTAGTTTTGTCGTATTTTTGTTATTTTTTAAATGATTGTTTTTATACATCTTTTTTTAAAAGTTAAATTTATTAAAATAAAAATTATTTTTTACAAATTGAAATTCACTATAAACTTACAAAAAACCACTATGTGATTATAATATTCTGTTACGAAAATCCCTTATAAACTTATCGAAAATCTCTATGTAATTAATAAAAACCACTCTATAATTAATGATAACCACTCTGTAAATTAACGAAAATTACTATATAATTATCAAATTCCATTAAAAAAAATCACTAAAAACTTATCAATTAACAAAAACCACTTTATAATTAATGAAAACCACTCTATAATTAACGAAAATCACTATATAATTAACGAGTTTCATTACAAAAATTCAGTAAAAACTTATCAATTAACGAAAACCACTCTGCAATTAATGAAAACCGCTATGTAATTAACAATTTTTATTACAAAAATTCACTATAAACTTATCAATGAACAAAAACCACTCTATAATTAATGAAAACCACTCTGTAATTAACGAAAATCACTATGTAACTAACGAGTTCCATTACAAAAATTCAGTAAAAAATTATCAATTAACGAAAACCACTCTGCAATTAATGAAAATCACAATATAATTAACAAATTTCATTACAAAAATTCACTATAAACTTATTAATTAACAAAAACCACTCTATAATTGCAGAGTGGTTTTCGTTAACCAAACAGGTTGCGGGCAAGGCTAATAATGCTCATGAAGTCTTTCTGGTGGAAACGAGCTCTTCGTCGCCGTCAATGGCAAATCTGCCGCCCATCAAGGTGAGAACTGAAGGTTACAATCAGACGGCTGGGCTGGATGAGCAGTTCTCTCATGTGGAGCATTGCTTCCGGGAATGGCAAATGCAGCTCCGTCAAGTCCTTCCTAGACGACGGCGCCGCCGCCGCCACATCAGCGATCTCTCCGCCGTCAACCGGATTCGATCCATTGTACGCCGCCACATACTTCCCCCTTCTACTTTTTTTTTTTTTTTTTTTTTTTTTTTTTTCACACACGCGCGCACTCACAATTTGCTCGATTTATAAGTTTATCGTTTTGCAAGCTGATTGAGATATTGAGCTATTAAAATTTAACTGAAGTGTGGTGGTTCAGATTATCTGTTTGTTAATTTACTCTTGGAGATTGTTAAATCAGCTGAAGTTGTATGGCATTTTTTTTTTATTTTTTTTTACTTCTGAGTGTGAATTGGTGGATAAACTAACTATATTTGTTTGTAGCAAAATGGGACCTTTCAGCATTCAATTTTAAAAAAGTATGGAACAGGTCAGTGGATAGATGATATACTTCTTCGAAACTCGAATCGACCTTTACTTTACTAAATTATTTACATTAGAACAAAAGTGGTAAATATCAAGAAAATAGTAATGTTTTTCCGGTTACTGAATATTTTTACTTAAGGGACCTCATATCCACTCCCTTTTTTTTTCAATAAATTTTTGTTTTATGAATCTTGTTAGAAACATGCCTCGTGGAAAATTAATAGTTTCGTTATTTCTGG